CATTTTATGTCTGTGTTTTTGGAAGCATTTTCAGAACAAAACCTATTTTCATTCCTGATCAAAATTTTAGGACCAGTTAAAAAATGAAAAAAAAAATCACATTTTGCACTGTTGAATCGTAAGAAGGTTCTAAGTAGAGTTTTGAAATGCAAAAAGAAGAAATGGGAGTGAGACAAAAAATAATTATCCAAGCATTTTATTGCAAGCAAGGCAAAAACTGAAATAGGCATATCTAAAAAAAATCTCAAAACCTCCTAAAATGTGACAAAAAAGACTCAGTAATGAGTAGCTCCACCATTCTTGTTTATCACTTCAAAAAAATTATGCATGCTTGATGCTAGTATTTCTAGGAGGCAAGAGAGAGAGACTTGCTCCAAGTGGTGAAGATGGCTTCATGGAAGGCATCTACTGTTTGGAACTGGTGTCCATTTTTGTAAACTTCCTTTGCTACCAGCCCCAAATGTTTTCCATTGGATTTAGATCAGGGGAACATGTAGGATGGTCCAAAAGGGGGGTGGCTGTGGTGTAGTTGTAGAGCAGCCAAATTTGGATCAGAAAGTCGCAGGTTCGACTCTCCGCCACACCCACATGTCCTGGTGTCCCAGAGCAAGAYACCCTACTCCCCACTGCTCCCATAGCTGCCTGCCGCTCCTGGGTGCCTCTCATGTGTGATGCATTGAATGCAGAGCACAAATTTCATTCTTGCATGGAAACATGCATTGATGACAAATAAAGCACCTTTACCTTTAAAAGGGTGATGTTATTCTTTGGAAGAAGTCTCTTGTCAGATGTGCATTGTGAACTGCAGAGTTGTCCTATTGAAAAACCCAGTTGTCTTATTGAAAAACCCAGACATTACAGACAATGGTCTTAAGTCATTAAGGATGCCCCTGCAATATTGATGACTCTGCACAGGCTGAAGCTCTATTGTTTCATCCGTCCATTTTCTTCCGCTTATCCGGGGTCAAGTCGCGGGGTCAGCAGCCTAAGCAGAGAGACCTAGACTTGACTCTCTCCAGCCACTTGGGTCAGCTCTTCTGGGGAAATCCTAAGATCCCAAGGCGTTTCCAGGCCAGCTGAGAGACATAGTCACTCCAGCATGTCCTGGGTCTTCCTTTGGGTCTCCTCCCAGTGGGACATGCCCAGAACACCTTACCAGGGAGGCATCCAGGAGGCATCCTAAACAGATACCAAAGCCACCTCAACTGGCTTCTCTCAATGTGGAGGAACAGCAGCTCTGCTCTGAGTAGGAGGAGACACAAATGCATATATATATATATA